ACTTAACTCTGTCAGATTTAAATTAATATCGGTTTCTTTCTCTGATAATGCTTTATCGTCTAGTCTCCATTTCTTTTCCAGTCCATTCAACTCAATATTTGTCTTATTTTTAAGCTGAACTATTAAGCGATCCTCTTCCTTCTTGATCTCATCTTTCACTTCATGGAAGTTTGCTTCTTTTGTGCGCCTAGCCTCCTTTAAACTTTCGACTTTTTGTGATAAAGATATTTTTAGTTCTTTATTCAGATTTTCAATATCATTCATTTTTTCCTGAAAAATTAATTCTATTCCTCGTAGCTTATGATTTTGATGCGACGGTATGCATGTAGGACATACTAGTTCTTCACATGTTTTGCAATATAAACAATATGTTTGAGAATTGTGCATTTTACAGCTTGTTGATTTAAGCTTCATTTTCGGCACATCCTGCCTCAGTTGTTTACTAAGATCCTTCAGTTCGACTATTTTGTGATCTGCAGCTAATGTAGCCTTCGTAGAGCAGTGGAATATAACGACTGAATTATTCGGGTTTGCTGCTATTCGTCATATTGGTCATAAATATATATATAAAACTTGCCAGGTTTTATCATTTTGTACGCCAGATGAAGTCATCTCCAACTAAGTAAGACATCACGTGACTTTGGAGACGTTTAATTACGTCATCGAGATTCGTAAAAAATCGTACTTTTTCTTGTCATTTACCCGTTGACTCAATGGTAAATCTAACGACCCCATCTCTACTTGTACATCAAATTCTCAAATTCCGTAAATAAAAGTAATACTTTGCAACTCGATTGAGAATATTAAAACATATATCTGGCGAAATGATTCTACTTAAAACAGTTTAAATCGAAGGCAAATTGCGTCCCACATCAGTTGAAAAAGTGATTTTTTTTCGGGATTTTTCAAAATGGCGGATGTGTTTGGAGGTTTGCATGTATTTTTCATGCATAATTTGTGCTGTTTCTGTTAACTTCTTCGTTGATATTCTGATGTTTGATTTCTAAATTTCTTGATAAAATATAAATTATTTCAAGAGTGAAGTAAAAAAACTTACCACTGAAATTTATAAGAAAAATATTACAGAGTTTACCTGTATGTACGTGCTGAATATTTGAAGCCAACTGGTTTGAGAAAATAAATTCATTCAATTAAGTTCTCCGAGATACTCAGTTTTTTTTTCTTCTCACTTCTACGTACAACTGCTGATGTTTCAAGCCCTCTTAGTTTGATATAAAAGTGGTGGTTTTGAAATTCTAAAATAATGTCAAGAAACACAAAATACATGAACTCACTTAATTTATTTTTTATTAGAATGAATATGAAAAATATATGATTTAAAATTATAGACATGTTTAAAATTAATAACTATCGACATATTTATTATAAATTACCTTTTTATTTACCTGTGTTACCTGTAAATTTAATGCGCGCAAATGTAATCAAAAGATGCGCGCAAACGTAAAAAAATTTAATCCCCAAATGCGCGCAAATGTAATGCGTCCTGACCAATATACGAACAGGTTAACACAGATTAAAGTTATAATATTACATAACAACAAATTATCAGGTAATGTAAAGGAATCGTGTCCAACCAAGAGCCATCAGGTGACATTAACATCCTGTGTACACATGTATGTCCAGAGTTTAGTTTTAGTGATATACACAAGTTTTCTAAAATGGACAAATAAATAAAATTGTCTTTCCCGTGTACACTACCGAAGAAATATATATCATAAAGAACTTTAAGAAAGTATGAATATTATGAAAAATTCTTCGAAAAGTTGATTTTTGCTTAAAAAAATAACCAAATATTAATGTTTCACGATGACTGTTTAAAAAAAATATTTTAAATTCAAATTTTATATTTAATAGATCTTTTTATTTCATCTGAGACATGTGTTATAGTAGTCTCAGATTTCATAGAAAATTAAACGAGACTTCATTGCATATGATTTTTGTCATTTATTTTTTTAATTCAATGTTTTATGCAAAATTCAGGCATAAAAAAAATCAATTTTGAAATTTTAACTTGTGTACAAAAATATGTTATTGCATACATTTCAACATTATTCTGCACCGAGCATAACAATACTTGTATATTCTGTGGCACCGTCCCTGATTAAGGGCTTGATCACCCGTCACACAGTTAAACATCGACTCTTGGTACTTACTGCATATGAGTTATATCAATTATTCAATGTGATTTGCAGTATATAAAATTGTAACGACGATTAACTCTCTGTCTTGAATAACATATCTAGCTTTACACGGGAATGATTTGAGTATTAAATATTGGTATTGGTGTTCTAGATGGATGTGTCCGCGGTGCCTATCAAATACAATGCCAATACCAAAAAATTACAGTATAATTTGTGTTTTAGAAAATTTTATCTAAATAAAATTTACATTTGTGGCATTTTACATTAGAAAACGATCATTTGTATTGAATTAAGCCTTTAAACTGAATTATTATATTGAATATTTATAATTTATCATTGTGTCCGTCATGGTGTGTCTGGCTACAAAATGCATGCCAACTATTTTTCATTAAGGTACAGTATTCGACAATCTATTCATGATGAAGACTCAATCGTAACGATAGATACTATCGATAACTATTGAACGTCATATGTCGAATCAATCAACCCGATTTGTTTAAGACGTATTCATAATCGTAACTATCGATAACGATTGAACATCATCTGTCGAATCAACCTTCACAGATTGGGTATTACCACTACTCGATCGTAACAAATTGATAAGATTGATAACGATTGAACATCATTTGTCGATTCAATCATCTCAATTTGATTATGATGAAGACTCGATCGTAACGATAGATACGATCGATAACGATTGAACGTTATATGTCGAATCAATCAACCCAATTTGTTTATGGTAACTATTAATACGATTGATAACGATTAAACATGATTAGTTATACTATATATATATACACCTGAAGCATGGGAAAGATTTCTACGACCTCCACACGGCACAAGAGAAAAACTCTGTCAAAATAATGTGTAAGAATGGATATGATGAACATAACCAGGAAACAAATCGCTAAATGTTCATAAGTTGCTGCACAGGAACAGCTTTTATTGCTGTTCTATATCTTGAAATATTTTCAACACATAGAAAAACATTCTCACCTCAATCCTAGTTTAAAGACGGTCCCTAGCACCGGTTTGAGCGGAATTCTTTACTAAAGTCGCCGCGTCTTATACCATCGTTTATCATATGAAGATAAGTTGGTTGAGTTGATTATATTGATCAACCGTGGCACAATTGTATCGTTGAAAACTTGCCAATTACAGATCCATTAATGTACAAAACATCGATTGAATACGATCGTGCTAGGTTCATGATATTAATATAGATTTTACTGAGTTGTTTATATTGATCAACCATGGCACAATCGTATCGATTGAATACGAACGATACGTATCGATCGTGCTCCGTTCAAAATATGCAGATACAGTTGACTGGGTTGATTACATTGATCAACCGTGGCACATGATCGTATCGATTGAATACGATCGATACGATCGTGTTAGGTTCATAATATAAATATATAGAGTTGACTGAGTAGATCATATTGATCAATCGTTGCACAATCGTATCGATTGAATGCGATCGATACGGTCGTGCTCTGTTCATAATATGAAGATACAGTTGACAGAATTTATTATAATGATCGTACAGTTGAATGAGTTGATATATACTGACACGAAAGAAGTATGTATATTTGGTACAACAATTGATTGAATAGACAAAATGATACGATCGAATACAGTTGACAAGCTATTTAAACTATAAAAAATAAATTGTCGATACAATCGATTGCATGGATTGTCGGATACTGTACCACTAATGGCCTCTTGCGCCCAATATTTGGTGAATATGTAAGATAAAATGTTGTCCCCATGAAATATTGTCTGTCGGACAAAATTTCATATAAAATAGTGTCCATGGACACTTTTTTATAATGAAATACTGTCCAGGACAATATTTCATTATGAAATAGTGTCCTTGTCCATGAAATTTTGTCACCTCCTTCTGGGCAATATTTCACTATGAAATTCTGTCCATGACAATATTGCACTATGAAATAGTGTCCGACGGACAATATTTCATGGGGGACAATACGTTCACTGTGAAATACTGTCCATGAAAATATTTCTTAATCAAATTATTAAAAAAATAAAAACAGTACACTTGAGCATGTAGAATGCACATTTTTAGATTTATAACTGAAATCATATTGTGAAGCAAGTACTTTTTATTTCAAACTAATATTTATTTTGATATAAGCTAGATTAAAATTTCCATAGATACTTAATAAATTGTTAATAGATTAAAGAATTGTCTAACATATGTTCCATTGTACAACATAATACTGTAAAGATACAAGTAATGTACTGACAATCCAAAATTGAATGTACTATAGTATTTGTATATACTAGATTGGCGGATCTTTTTCAACGGCGTTTTGGAGGTACATGAATAATTGGAATGTCCTTGTCCAATACTTGTATTTCATTTCCACTGCCATGATAACCTCCCATTCATGAGACAAAATTTATGACAATCTGTCTATGAAATATTGTCTCAATTCACACAAAAAATAACCTCCCTTTACCAGGACTAAATTTCATAGTATTCATCGGTGAAATATTGTCTATATACAGACAAAATTTCACAATGAAAATATTCCCTTCTCTGGACATAATTTCATAGATGAGAACAAAATTTCATGATACATAGTCATGAAATATTGTCTTGGTGGACAATATTTTATAGGACAATATTTTGCTTTACAAATACATTATATACTACATAGCTTTGAGCGTTCCTTATGAGGAAAATCCAGTTAAGCGCTTCCAGAAGCCACTAATATAAAATTTATAACTTGTTTTTTTTAATCAGGGGTCGGAATAAATTAACTGCTACTCCGGATACGACTCGAGCATTACACGGTTCAGAGAGGTGAGCCCAACATGGACATGTGGTCCCGGAAGCGCGAGATATGAAATTTTAATTAATATGGAAAGAAGTAGTGAAGACACAGATGAAACTCAGCCTCAAAATTTGACATCCGAAGAAATTATGATACAAACTTCTCAATCTGATGACAGTTCGGGATTATTTAATATGTTGTCGCGATATAATGCAAGAAAAAACAAAAGGAGATACAGAGACAGAAGAGGTTCGTCCTCAAGTTCATCGGAAGAAGGTTATGATTCTCCATATGTATTTGGAAAATTGAAGATCATACCTTCCTCAACATGTCATTGGAATATAGCTTGTCTTGATTTAGTAGGTGTTATTTACAGTGATGACTATTTTCCATCACCCTTAGGTGTTCTAGATCTTATTTTTGAGAAAACTGGCAATTTTGGACCACTGACGGAAAAAGATAAAGAACATGTAAATAATGTGCAGGATAGTATGTCATTCAGTATGTCTGCTAAAGAACTACTCCAATTAACCACTGATAAACGTGAAAGTGTATTAATTCCAGTGTCCAAGCAAATAGAGAAAGATTTGGACAATCTTCATCTACAGTTAGAACTCAGGTACATCATGTACATGTAATTGTTGAAACAACAAAAAAACATTATTCTTGAAAATATTACATATCATATCAGACTACTAAGAGAAAAAGGCAACAGAAAAAACTGTAGAAGTCGTCAAAGACTCTGTATTTTTAGAATATTGGTCGAGGACCAGTTACCGTCACCTTGCATTTTATGCAATAACAGACTCGTTGTGTAAATACAGCATACTGCTATTATCTTTATAAACATGATAAAAATGCTCTTATTTTATTTTTATAAACTTGGTTTTCAATTTGTTTGATCAATCAAGACTCGGAAATCTTTATTTTTTTTTTGTTCTTTTATCACATACAAATGTACATGTAGCATGTGTAGTGGGGAGATATGCGTGCGGGGACATGATGTCATCACTTTATGGCGCCCTCGATTTAAGAAAACTGACGGTTTTCAGATAAAGTGAAAGCAAAACCTTACTTAGGACATAAAATATTCCTTCAAAGGAATAAAAAAAGTTAATTAATTTTAGAATCAATTTCTATGACCCCTTTCAATGTCATGAATGTAGTGTAACATGTTGATTTCAGGTGACATAAATTCGAGATAAGTTCAGATTGAGTAAAAGTCTGAGATATTCAGAATTTATGGGCGGAATGACAATATTGTTGGTTTATTCGACATGTTTGACAAACCTCCATCTCCATGATCTCTGTTTGCATAAAAACAGTAAAATATGACAATAATTTTCTTATAAATATGTCATTTCTATAATTTAGGAACTAGATTCTTAACTGATGGTAACTGGTCCTTGTAACTATGCAAGTTCAAGCTTTTCGTTGAAGAGGAATTAAGTTCTGAGTCTATATACATGATATATATATGGTCCTAGACATAACGTTTGGTAACCTTTTTCCTGCTAAAAGAATATTTCCATCAGTATTTCCTGTTGAAAGTTATTTGAGAAAAACTGTGAATATTTGACGGTAACTGGTACTAGACCAGTAAAGAATCGCTTAGAAGACAATATTAGTCAAAAGTGTACCTCCTTGTAACTTAGTTTTTTGTAAATAATGGCACACGCTTTTGTTAACCTACGTGTACATGTACCTTGTACATTTGTTTTCTGTTGTGAAGTACATGAACATGTAGCTAAAACATACTTGAGTTCTGAGTTTGTGTCTGTTTCAGTGTGGAGGCAAAATAATTGTAACACCTGAAAATTTTTTCTAGGCAAGTGCCTCTCTTTCCCAAATGTGAATGAAACAATATTAGGATGATTTAAAAAGATTTCATTTAGATAATCACCCCCGGGCCGGCCCCCTTTCTTGCTCTTCATGCTTTTCTATTTTCACCCTTCAACCTACATGTACAATGATGTACTAAAATGCTTTGGCCAATTTTATATATAAATTGAAATTTTTTGCAGACAATATGTTGTTGAATCCAATTCAGTAGTTGTCTCTCGAGTTTGTTTTCATTTTGGATTTTCTGGTTTGAACATGTTGAATATTTTATATTTTGTTGTGTCAGAGCTTTTTATGGGTAATTACTACATGTACATGTATTATATTCAATATGGGTTTAACTCATTTTTAAAGGTCATACAGCATGTACAGTGGTCTATAGCATGTATTATTGCTTAAATCTGCTTCTTTTGAACTCTGTTAGATAGTTGTCTCATTGGCAATCGTAACACATGATATATTTTATAGATTGAATCTTGCAGGCAAAAATAGATCCCTTAATCTTGTTAATTGATTCAATATATACATTTTGAAATTATGGATTTTTCATAAATCTTAAGTCGATTGGCCAATAACATGCATGTTGGCTACATTCTACATTGGCTAGAGGTATAGGGGAGGGTTGAGATCTCACAAAACATGTTTAACCCAGCCACAACTTTGCGTCTGTCCCAAGTCGGGAGCCTCTGGCCTTTGTTAGTCTTGTATGTTTTTTAATTTTAGTTCATTTATATGTTTTGGAGTTTAGTGTAATGTCCATTTTCACTGAACTAGTACACATTTTTGTTTAGGGCCAGCTGAAGCCCGCCTCCGGTTTAGGGATTTCCTCGCTGTGTTGAAGACCCATTTTCTGCTCTTTAATTGGGTTGTTGTCTCTTCGACACATTCCTCATTTCCATTCTCAATTTTAGAAATGCCTTTAAATTTTACAGATTAAATATAGTCACTGATTACGACATCTTAACACTAAATCCGTTGGATCTATAATGATTGATACTTTATTCTAGGAGAATATGATTTATTTATGTATGTAAGTTGCAATTGGCTTTGAACTAACTTTCAGTAACTGTGATTACTCTTATTTCAGTGCTTTGTGTCTATCTATTGCTTTTATGTAAGTTGTTTTTTTAGCTCACCTGGCCAAAAGGCCAAGTGATCTTTTCTCATCACTTGGCGTCCGTCGTCTTTAGCTTTTTACAAAAATCTTCTCCTCTGAAACCAATGTGCAAAATTTAACCAAACTTGGCCACAATCATCATTAGGATATCTAGTTTAAAAAATGTGTCCGATGACCCCGCCAACCAACCAAGATGGCCGCCATGGCTAAAAGTAGAACATAGGGGTAAAATATAGATTTTGGCTTATATCTCTGAAACCAAAGCATTTAGAGTAATTCTGACATAGGGTAAAACTGATTATCAGGTCAAGATCTATCTGGCTGAAAATTTTCAGACAAATCTGACAACCTGTTGTTGGGTTGCTGCCCCTGAATTGGTAATTTTAAGGAAATTTTGCAGTTTTTGGTTATTATCTTGAATATTATTATAGATAGAGATAAACTGTAATAAGCAATAATGTTCAGCAAAGTAAGATCTACAAATAAGTTGCCATGACCAAAATTGTCAGTCGACCCCTTTAGGAGTTATTGCCCTTAATAGTCAATTTTTAACAATTTTTTGTAAATTTTTGTAATCTTTTACAAAAATCTTCTTCTCTGAAACTACTGAGACAAATTTAACCATACTTGGCCATAATCATTATTAGGGTATCTAGTTTAAAAAATTTGTCCGATGACCCCGCCTTCCAACCATCATGGCCGACTTGGTTAAAAATAGAACATAGGGGTAAAATGCAGTTTTTGGTTTATATCTCTGAAACTAAAGCATTTAGAGCAAATCTGACAGGTGGCAAAAGTGTTCATCAGTTCTATATTTATCTGCCCTGAAAATTTTTAGACAAATCTGACAACCCGTTGTTGGGTTGCTGCCCCTGAGTTAGTAATTTTACAAAAATTTTGCAGTTTTTTGTTATTATCTTAGATATCATTCTAATATCTAATACTATTAATTATGATTTTAACCTTTTTTTACATGATTTCCAAAGCATCAGTAAATACAGGTGAGCGACACAGGCTCTTGAGAGCCTCTAGTTGTGCCTTGTACCAACCTTTTTTTACAGTTTGTTTTTTATCATGTTTATGGTGCTGTTACACCACTGTTCCAGGAATGGGGAGGGTTGAGCCCTCATAAACATGTTTAATCCTGCCACATTCTTTATGTGCCTGTCTCAAGTCAGGAGCCTGTAGTTCAGTGGTTGTCGTTGGCTCATGTCTGTCATATTTGTTCTTTACAAAATTGTTTTGTTATGAATAAGGCAATTAGTTTTCTCAATTGAGATGTTTCACATTTTTCATGTCTGGGCCTTTTATACATGTTATAGGGGACTATACGGTATGGGTTTTTCTCATTGTTGAAAGCCGTACAGTTGCCTATAATTGCTTACATCCACTCCATTTAAACTTTGGTGGATAGTTGTACATGTATCATTAACAAACCATTTCACACCTCCTTATTTTTATATGACAAGAATTCAGAAAGCCTTTCTGACTTCTTTTCATAATCATTCTTTGTGCTCTTTAGCATGTTTATGCTAGTTTTATTGCAGCATTTAAGGTATTCAAGGCTTTATCTTTAATTTCAGGCACAAATTAGATATTGCAGATCCAATTAATTTCATCAACGCTGTTCAAGTAATGATAGCATATCAGGATGCCCATTGTTTTGATAGAAAAGGATATAGAAAATCTGTTGGTGGTGTGCCAGAAGATATGTTTGTGGATATGGTCAAAGAATTCTCTAAATTGTGTAAACTGCTGCCTCTGTGAGTATTTTACAGTTTTGTATAATGTTATCATACAAGTACACTGTACAATGGATCATATTGTAACAACTAAAGAAATGAATAATTAGTTAATTTACAGTTTTTTTACACATGAATTTATTATTTATATCATACATGTCATATGTTTTATCAGAGATGTCTTGTACAATTTCTAAAATCAGTGCAGATCAACTATTTCTTATGTAGTTTAGCCCTTCATGCCCTTGGAAATATGAATTATATGGTAAATTGCATTATATTAGCACTCTCACACCTACATTTCTTGTTGGAATTTATGAAATTTATATCAAAGGTTTATACCAGCATGGAGTTTAAACAGTGCTGACTAATTAGTTTACAGGAGTTATGTGCCTTGGAAATAGAAAATATATGGAAAATAACATTATTAGCAATCTCAGATCTTCATTTCTGTAAGATAATTATGAAAAAGTTTAAATGGACACAAAAACTTTTTTCTGAAGTTATTGACCTTGGGCATATAAACAATGTGTAAATGCAGGGGACATTTGAACTCTGTTCTTTTATTCAATATACATTTGTGTACAATGGAATGAAGCAATTCTGTTTAAGTTTCATTGATTCTATACCAGTGTATACTCACTGTCATAAATGTAGGAGATTTAACATCCACGAATATTCATAATAGTCTGATGTAATAAATACATTTACACTTTTGGTATTTAGCTGAATGTTGTCTCTGAATGACCTTAGATCTGTCTCCAAATAACCTTCTGACGTCAAGCAACAATCACTTTTTATACATACTTTTAAGGGACGTTTTATGGTAAACCGTTGTCCGTCTGTCTGTCATCAACATGTCGGACAATAACTCAAAAACGGTTTCACTAATTTTCATGAAACTTTGGTGAATTGTTTATATCTATTGACGTAAGCTCCTTTTCGATTTTTATAAATTTTAGATTTTACGTTTCCGAGTTATGGGATTTTATTCATAAAAAATGGGGATTTTCCAGTTTTCTGACTATAACTCAAAAAAGCTTTGAACAATTTTCATGAAACTTAAGTGGATTGTTTATATATATTGACATAAGTTCCCTTTCGTTTTAAAAAAATTCTGATTTTATGTTTTCGTGTATTGGGACTTTATTCGTAAATAAAATGCTCTGCTGGGCACAGCTTGATACGATCGCAGAGGTCGAACCCTGAACAGTTGGGGCAAGTATGGACACAACATTCAAGCTTGATACAGCACTGAATTTGGATTGTAATTAAATATTTGACACAGCATAGGTTTCTGACACAGAATGAATGTGGTCTAAGAACTTAAAAAAATTTAATTTACCTATTCAAACCATATCATTATTATTTGCTTTTATATATAAATCAGAAATAACCAATTTAAAATGGAAAATTTTAAAGAAAAAATAGGAAAAAAAAATCCCCCCCCCCCAATTTTTTGAACCCCCTTATGATTCATCACCCCCAAACTCAATCCCAGCCTTCCCTTTGTGGTATGGTACCTTGCAGTACAATTTCAGAGAGATCCATACACTTGAACACAAGTTATTGTCTGGAAACTAGAAAAATGCTTGTTTTTTGGCCCCTTTTTGGCCCCAAATTCCTAAACGTTTAGGGCAATTACCCCCAAGGTCAAACCCAGCTTTCCCTTTGTGATATGGAACCTTGTAGTACAATTTCATAAAGATCCATACACTTACAGTACACACAAATTATTGTCCTGAATCTAGAAAAATGCTTATTTTAGGCCCCTTTTTGGCCCCTAATTCCTAAAATTTTGAGACAATTACCCCCATTATCAATCCCAGCCTTCCCTTTGTGGTATGGTAACTTGCAGTACAATTTCAGAGAGATCCATATACTTGAACACAAGTTATTGTCTGGAAACTAGAAAAATGCTTATTTTTGGCACTTTTTGACCCCTTTTTCCTAAATGTTTTGGGTAATTACCCCCAAACTCAAACCCAGCTTTCCCTTTGTGATGTGGAACCTTGTAGTACAATTTCAAAAAGATCCATACACTTACACACAAGTTATTGTCATGAAACTAGAAAAATGCTTGTTTTTTACCCCTTTTTTGGCCCCTAATTCCTAAAATTTGGAGGCAACTACCCCCAAAATGAATCCCAGCAATCCCTTTGTGATATGGAACCTTGTGGTACAATGTCAGAGAGATCCATACACTAACACACAAGTTATGTCTGGAAGTTACAAAAATGCTTATTTTTGGCCCCTAATTCCTTAACTGTTGGTACCATAACCCCCAAAATCAATCCCAACCTTCCTTTTGTGGTATTGAACCTTATGGTAAAATTTTATAGAGATCCATTCACTTAAACTAAAGTTATAGTGTGAAAACCAATGTGTCTTCAGACAGCGACGACGCCAACGTCATACCAATATACGACCACAAAATGTTTTTGCAGTCATATAAAAAGGGGGGATTTTCCAGTATTTCGGACAATAACTCAAAAATGCTTTTAGCAATTATCATGAAATTTTGGTGAATTGTTTATATCTATGACCAATGACGTAAGCTCCCTTTCGATTTTTATAAATTTTAGATTTTACGTTTCCGAGTTATGGGATTTTATTCATAAAAAATGGAGGATTACCCAGTTTTCTGACTTTAACTCAAAAAAGCTTTGAACTATTTTCATGAAACTTTAGTGGATTGTTTATATATGTAATTTATTGACATAAGTTCCCTTTCGATTTAAAAAAAATTATGATTTTATGTTTTCGAGTATTGGGACTTCATTCATAAAAAATGGGGGATTTTCCAGTATTTCAGACAATAACTCAAAAACGCTTTTAGCAGTTATCATGAAACTTTGGTGGCTTGTTTATATCTATTGAAATAAGCTCCCTTTTATTTTTTATAAATTTCTGATATGACATTGCGGAGTTATGGAAATTTATTAGTTGAAAAATTGTTGAAAACTGTCCAGTTGACGACGGGCTTATCATGCACTCATGGCACAGATCTTTATTAATTATGACGTCAATTTTTTTTAAATTGTGATGTCAAATTTTACAGGAACTTCTGTGATTTTAAGTAATGGCGGACAAATTTGCATACAATTGTAAATACATCTATAGAATAACATTGGGCAACAAAAACATGAAAAAATGTAGGGGATACATCAGTGTTTGCCCTAGAGATTTCAAATATCATCCTTGCAATGATGAATTGTTGCATTTTGTTTTCCTCTATTAGTTTACATGTTTACAGAATCATGCTGACCTAAACTTTATTAGAAAACATTTGAAAGAAGGATAAGCATAATTATAGGGTTCAAAAACCTTAGAGAGAATAATGCATGAGCAATTCTGTCAACATTCTGATTAAAATCAAACCACTCACTTGCTATAAACTAGAGGACCTGAAGTGAGACAAGTGATTTAAATCAGATTAGTCTGTCAAGTTTTAATCCATTCCAAAGAAAACTGTAGGAAATGGTGTCTTCTCAAACTTATGTAATGAACTGATAGGTTTTCTAAGCTTCAAAGTACAGTAACCCTGAAAAAAAACAAATGGCCGACACAACTTTGATATATTTAATTGTATGCTCAACTTTGTATGGTCTTCCATTCTATTCCGATTTAAACTGATGGAAATTTTGAATTCACAAACTTTTATATCAAATTAGACACAGAAAAAAAATATTGATTGACCTTTCCAATGATTTACTGCTAAAGGATGGGGTTAAGGGGAGATAGGCTACTCCAGTCAGAAGCAAACAATGGCTTGTCAATAAGTTTTTTTGTTCTTTAACTGCCCCTTTCACAATGTCTGATGTCTGATGTGGAAAATAGCTTAGATAGATGTAGTAAGATCCTGCCTTGGCATTCTTTGGCACCCCTAGGAAACATACTAAAATGTTGGATGCACCTTTAAATTTTCCTGAAATAAAAAATGCTCTTCTTTCATTTCTATATTTCCACCAAAACAGTGAGGCATCAGTTATTTTCAATAAAAGCAATTGCGGAATTGTTTTAAATTGGATAACACAATAATGTTTCAAAAATTCCCTAGTTTAAGACCTGGACTAAACATTTTTAATGTTCAACTTTTGAATGTCAGGAAACATTCAACAAAAGTTGTTTTCAATTTGCCATTTCAGAATCTATTGTATTCTGAGTAATATTTCAAAAGTGTACACCAAGATGCTGTGATTGGCTTACAATGTCCAAAACAATTGAAATTCAACCAATGACTTGATGTTATTTTCATTTTGGTGTACCAACATGGTCCTTTGGATTCTGAAACTGCTAATTGTTATTATGATGTATGGTTTCTAAGTTATGGCATAGATTTAGTTAGATTTGAAGTTTCCCTTCACATGTTCAATGACTTGAAGTTGAGAATACTGCAACCACATCTTTTAAAATTTGAACACAACTGTTTGTAGTAAGATCATTATAAAAAGTTAAGTTAAGAAAATACAAGTCATGCAAGTATTCCATGTATTGTGCATAAATAAAAGGCTGAAATACAAGAAAAAATGCCTCTTGATAATGCAGTTTCGGTAAATGTTCTCTTTCTGCCATATTTTAGCATTATTTTTATGCCCCCGCCGTAGTGGAGGGGGCATTAAGTTTTACCCTTGTCCCTCTAGGTACGTACGTACGTCCCAAAATGTGTTTCCGTTCTCTTTTAGTTTGCCTCAACCAAATGTTATGAAACTTATACACAATGCTTATTACCACATAACGCAGATCAAGTTTAAATTTTGGTGGCGTCACTTTTACCGTTCTAGAGTTATGCCCCTTTACAAATGGAAAAATTGCTGAATTTTTCGTTTCCGTTCTCTTTTAACTATAGTTTGTCTCAACCAAATGTTATGAAACTTATACACAATGCTTATTACCACAAAACACAGATCAAGTTTGAATTGTGGTGGCATCACTTTTACTGTTCTAGAGTTATGCCCCTTTACAAATGGAAAAATTGCTGAAATTTTCGTTTCTGTTCTCTAACTTTAGTTTGCCTCAACCAAATGTTATGAAACTTATACACAATGCTTATTACCACAAAACACAGATCAAGTTTGAATTGTGGTGGCATCACTTTTACTGTTCTAGAGTTATGCCCCTTTACAAATGGAAAAATTGCTGAAATTTTCGTTTCTGTTCTCTAACTTTAGTTTGCCTCAACCAAATGTTATGAAACTTATAAACAATGCTTATTACCACAAAACTCAGATCAAGTACAAATTTGGGTAGCGTCACTTTTACAGTTCTTGAGTTATGTCCCTTTATAACGTTATATGCAAGCGGGGGCATCATCTGTGTCCCAAGGATGCATTCCCCATTTATGTTTGAATGATATGATACATAGGCATTTTCAATTGAACAGGACCATCGACTATGTAAGGTTGATTTCATTGGTTTTTTTTTCTTTTAAGACCAGGTTCAGCATTTGTTGGGAACACAGAGATTTGTTTTGACAAGAGAGTTCAAGTTACAGCAAAGTCAGATATAATTTTAGTCCCAGGAGCTTATTCTGTTGATATTCTTTCAAAGACTGTTACAGGAAAAAGGAGACAGCCTCATGTTGTATCAGTTGTAGAGGTATGATGAATAATGTGACCTTTTCCATTTCTATGTGAACAGATTTAAAGTAACTATTATAATTTAAAATTTATAAAAAGCCAAATAGGGTCAGTTGTCTAAATAATCAACTCAACTGTCCAGAAAAGCCCTTGTAAGCAATCATCATCATTAGTTTTAATAATTTAACAAATTTTTAATGTTAACACTTTTACCATGTTTACTGTAAGTCAAAATGAACAATGTATTTTTATATTTTAGGTTAAAAACTTAGAATATTCAATCAATAAAAACTATGTTGGAATGGAACATGAAAAAAGAAGACATTCAAATTCAAGTAGTGAAGCTAGTGAGAATGAATTGTCAATTCATGCTGGAAAGCCAATATTACAATGGTTTAACCCAGATATATTAGCAAAACACGGAGGAGACTTGCTCTTACTTGACCAGTTTTTCACAGAACAACTGGAAGGAACAGATGGTCTAAGAGAGTATCTCCCTGGGATAATAGTAGTTGGAACTGAAGTATGTAGCACTCACATCATCTTATAATTGAATAACAAGTATAGTCATACAGTATGAGCCTGAACAAAAATACTGCAGCTTGTACATATTGTAGGGTGCTGATTACATTCTTTCTAAAAGCTGTACAGCAACATGTATGTAAAAAAAATAATTATCACCAAAAACAACATTTACTATCAAAAGTTAGTGAAGTTAAGAAATTTTAATCCCTAGCTGCAAGTGTATCTCAAAAATTTTGAAACAGGATATTGTTTATGAATTCATGTAACAAAAAACATACACATGTATACACTTTGACAGTCCATACTTTTCATGCTTTTGGTTGGTGCTTTTATTGTTGTTCTTGAACAGAAACTTTGAGAGGACTTTATCAAAGAACACACTTCACTACTGGAAGTTTAAGATTGTATTACAGGGGATTTGCCCCTAGCACTGGTTCAGCAGAATTCTAGCTGTTGACAATGCTATGTTTGTGCTGTGGTGGGTGCAAATTAATATCAACAAATTAGAGACTATGATATTGGACAAAGTTGCACACTCCTTGATACATACAGTGTAACAGATGTAATGCATATACTACATGTACATGTATTTATTGATAGTAGTATCTATCTGACATCTGTCTCAGCTAATTGACCCTCGCTTAACGCATTGCGGGGGACATAGAAATACCGGGCCTCTATCCATCTGTTTTATATCAGCAATGTCTTGGACGAATTTGAAAATCAGTAGGGATCAATAATTTTTCAAAGAGTTATGCCCCTTGCAAACATTAATTATATGGAAAATTGCATTGTTAGCGCTTTCATGTGTACAATTCTTGCCAGATTTTTATGAAACTTGTATTGTAGGTTTATATCAGCAATGTCTCGGACAAGTTCGAAAATCAGAGCCAATCAATAATTTTTAAAAGAGTTATGGCCCTTAGAAATAAAAATATGGAAAGTTGCATTGTTAGCGCTCTCATGTGTATAATTCTTGCCAGATTTTTATGAAACTTATATTGTAGGTTTATATCAGTGATGTCTCGGAGGAGTTCGAAAATCAGTGCAGATCAATTATTTTTAAAAGATTTATGCCCTTAGAAATATTAATTATATGGAAATTTGCATTGCAAGTGCTCTCACATGTACACTTTTTTGCCAGTTTTTTTTATCAAATTAAAGGTTAATATCAGCAATGTCACGGACAATTTGGAAAATAATTATTGAACTCTGCTCTTTTATTGTATGATTGTTCTGAGTTAAGCATATATGTTTTTACCAGTATCAATAAACAAATTTAGGTCAGGTGAGCAATAACAAGCTTCATGTTGCCTTTATTTATATGAAGCTATTGAACAACTTTATACCTTAAACCTTTTAGGTTTCCCAGAAGCAAAATATAGGAATTGTCATTATAGGGTTCAATGACCATAGGCAGCAGGGATATACATGTTTAGCTCTACTCCTAGTTCATCGAACTTGCAATGGGATCTTAAAAAATCCAATCTAATTGAAATGCTGATTCTGTGTCCACACTTGACTTACAAGAGACTGAAAAGCAAACATTTCATTGGTTGATTTAATAATTACCAAAAGTAACAAATTTTGGACAGAGCCTTGTCATATTCTTGTACTTAAAGTGAAGGGTAGACAAAAATAACTCAAAGTGTCTGTATAACCAGATTGCAAAACAGCAATTGAAAGTGCATAATAAATATATGTAGATAATGGTAAAATGTTTCATTCAAATCCTCTTCCTAGTATACTCAGTGTTTACAAATCATTTGCAAATTATAACCAAATAATTCTTATTAATAAATATTTACAGGTGACATTTACAGTGCTTGAAATCAAAACTGGTCATTTGACTGATGTAAAGAATAAATTATGTGAAGGAGGTAAAGCTACAATATTCTACTCAAAACCAAGAGACTTTTTGCTGAAGGAAGATCGTGACATACTAGTTGAAGCATTCACAAGACTTAATAATGGATGGGTTGACTGAACAGGAATTCTCTGGAGTTCTCAACATTCACATCACCATTAACGCCTGTCAATATTTATTTTTCAAAAAATTACATAAATATCTGTTGAATTTATGTGGTAACAAAAAAGTATTTATTTTTTTTAGCAAAGTTCTTAAGGTTTGTCTTTTGTTAAAAATTCTTCTTTGATAATATACTGAACAAAAATAGAAACTCCTATTTTTCAGTGTTTTATATCAGCTCACCTGTCCTAAAAGGATGTGTGAGTTTTTTTCCTGAACTGTCAATATTACACTTTTACTTTGACAGAATTGTTACAATCTGATGCTTATGTGTGTTCATCTTATTTGATAATTATATGTGCTAACATTTATATACTTATGTGTGCTCATCTTATTTGATAATTATATGTGCTAACATTTATATGCTTATGTGTGCTCATCTTATTTAATAATAATATTGGCTAATATTTATATGCTTATGTGTGCTCATCATTTTGATAATTATATTAGCTAACATGTATATGCTTATGTGCGCTCATCTTATTTGATAATTATATGTGCTAACATTTATATGCTTATGTGTGCTCATCTTATTTGATAATTATATGTGCTAACATTTATATGCTTATGTGCACTCATCTTATTTGATAATAATATGTGCTAACATTTATATGCTTATGTGCACTCATCTTATTTGATAATTATACATGATAACATTTTTATGCTTATATGTACTTATTTAAGTTGATACTTTGTTTTATCAAGATTTTTATGCCCCACCTGCGGTAGTAGAGGGGCATTATGTTTTTCGGTCTGTGTGTCCGTTCGTTTGTTCGTTTCTGTTTGTCAGTTTGTCCCACTTCCGGTTAAAGTTTTTGGTCAAGGTAGTTTTTGATGAAGTTGAAGTCCAATCAACTTGAAACTTAGTACACATGTTCCTTATGATATGATCTTTCTAATTTTAATGCCAAATTAGAGTTTTAGCACTGAACATAGAAAATGATAGTGTGAGTGGGGCATCCGTGTACTATGGACACATTCTTGTTTGTATATATGTTATTGTTGGTTGTAAGAGCTTTCCTAAGCTCATCTTTATTGTTGATTGTAAGTATGTGCTGATTCTAAATAAAATTTACTGGTACTCTTACTTTCTATATAAATAAAAAAAATTACTTGGGGAAGTGACATCATATATCAAAAGTGGCGTTTAATGTAAATATTGATAGTATTAGATTTATAAATTTATTGTACATATATATGTGTGTTACTGAAAAAACAGCTAGTAGGTACATATTTTACATCAATGAAGTAATCATAAATCTGCTACATTTGGACTCCTTGTTATATATTATTGTTTGTTAAAGATTACTTTAGCGGAAAGATGACAGTATTTTGTTCTAATTTACATATAAAAACAGTTATTTACTATATTTTATGTTGAAGATATTTTAATAAAGCTATTTGAATTAGTCTCTTTAATATGTTGTTTTAAAGGTTTCCTACCCAAAAAATGACATTCACAGAATTTGAACTTACAGTTTTACTGCAGATTATTAGAAGGACTAGTACGATATTAGTCCGTTTATATTATTTTTATCGTTTTATATGCAAAAAAATGGCATTTTTTAAGAACTAATATTGATTCACTCATAGGGTCTTTGCATTGGTTATTGGCATGATACAGGTTATGTTCTTGTACAATTTATGATGGTTTGATACTAAACCTCTATTGGGAGGGATTGTGATTGATTTTCATATGATGAAGACATAATCTTTTAATCAGTTTAATTGCAGTCTGGAGCTTATGTTTTAATATTAGTATTGTGTATGTGTATTGTGTATGTTTATTGGGTAAATGTATGTATTTGTCGGTTATAAAAGCTCTAAGAGCTTATGTTATTGTTATGTGACATGCCGACTTTAAATGAAGCTTTTGATTTGATTTGATTTGCATGTCAGTAACTGCAAGTAGTCCTTTGTTAATTTATGTATCATTGTCATTTTACGTATTTTAACATCAGACTCAGACTTTTTTAAACTGAGTTTGACTCTGCATATTTCTGTGTGTTTGTTTATTCCACACTGGCTAGAGGTATAGGGGGATGGTTGAGACCTCACAAAACATGTTTAACCTTGCTGCATTTTTGCGCCTGCCCCAAGTCAGGAACCTCTAGGCTTTGTAAGTCTTGTATGTTTTTTTTTTAATTTTGGTTTATTTGTAAATGTGTTGTCCATTTTGCTGAACTAGTATACATTATTGTTTAGAAGCCAGCTGAAGCCATCCTCTGGGTGAAGGATTTTCTGGCAGCATTAAAGACCCTTGGTGGCTTTGGGTTGTTTTCTGCTCTTTGGTCGGGTTGTTGTCCCTTTGATATAATCAACGTTTCCATTTTCTATTTTATACACAGAATGATACATAGTGTTGACCCATTATTCAAAGTATTTTTTAATCATGAATAAGTTGGTTGTGCAGTAGATCTCTTCTTACTTGATATCAAGTGATATATTGGAGTAATGTTTTTCCTTGCCTGCAACACAGGTCACAGAATGCAAGACAGAGATACTAATTTGTATAAAGAGAGGCGAAAGATACCGAAAGAACATTCAAACTGAAAAGTCGAGAAAAAAAAAATGAAGACGCCATGGCAAAACCGAAAAACGATGAAAAGACAAAAAACAATACACAACATAGAAAACTAAAGCTTTATATTTCAGAAGGTAGCAGACTAAGATGCTTCATACCTTGTATATAGGTGCCCTGTGTTACGAAATTTCTATCTGTCAAATGTCCATTGTCTTTGGCTCATTATGAGTAATAGGATAATATTATATTTGGTAAATGGATCCTTACAAGGTTTACATGTCTGTCAGACAAGGCTCAACCTCATCTCATGGATCAGTTATCAAAGGTAAAGTTACTTGATTAGGTCTGTTTCTCAGATGCTATATATAACAGTTACTGTAGGTCAACTATATTTGGTTATGGAATGCTTATTAAGTGCACATGTCTTTTCAGCAGGTATCATCTGACCTTGACCTCATTTCATGGTTCATTGGTCAGTGTTTAGTTTCCGTATTTTGATCGTTTTCTCAAACCTATCAGCAATAAGTCAACTATATTGTATTATATGTCTTATAAATGTTTTAAAGGTTTCATACCCAAAAAATGACATTCACACAGAATTGAACATTCAGTGTTTAATGCCGATTATTAGAAGGACTATAGTTCGGTATTGGTCCGTTTATATTACTTTTATTGTTTTATATACAGCAAAAAAAGGTATTTTTTAAGAATTAATATTGATTCACTCATAGGGTCTTTGCATTGGTTATTGGCATGATACAGGTTATGTTCTTGTACAATTTATGATGGCATGATACTAAACCTCTATTGGGAGGGATTGTGGTTGATTTTCATATGATGAAGGCATAATTGTTTAATCAGTTAAATTGAGGTCTGGAGCTTATGTTTTAATATTAGTATTGTGTATGTGTATTGTAAAATTGAGAATGGAAATGGGGAATGTGTCAAAGAGACAACAACCCGACCATAGAACAGACAACAGCAGAAGGTCACCAACAGGTCTTCAATGCAGCGAGAAATTCCCGCACCCGGAGGCGTCCTTTAGCTGGCCCCTAAACAAATATATATATACTAGTTCAGTGATAATGAACGCCATACTAAACTCCAAATTGTACACAAGAAACTAAAATTAAAAATAATACAAGACTGACAAAGGCTAGAGGCTCCTGACTTGGGACAGGCGCAAAAATGCGGCGGGGTTAAACATGTTTATGAGATCTCAACCCTCCCCCTATACCTCTAGCCAATGTAGAAAAGTAAACGCATAACAATACGCACATTAAAATTCAGTTCAAGAGAAGTCCGAGTCTGATGTCAGAAGATGTAACCAAAGAAAATAAACAAAATGACAATAATACATAAATAACAACAGACTACTAGCAGTAACTGACATGCCAGCTGCAGACTTCAATTAAACTGATTGAAAGATTATGTCTTCATCATATGAATATCAGGCACAATCCTTCCCGTTATGGGTTTAGTATCATACCATCATAACATATATGAGAAGAACATAACCCGTGTCATGCCAACAGCTGGTTTTTAAAGGCAGTGCTTTAATGCCTTTCTTGTTGCCGGGTTAATTCTTCCTTCCGCGATATCCAACTTATCTACGTGGGGGGTCATTAGGCTCCAAGTAGATCCGGAAATGTTGAATTCTCTCCTCTTCTTATTGTGATATAAAATGTTTTTTGTTTCATTTCATTTACATTGGGAAATAGAGAAACGATCATTGTGTTTTGTTAGTTTTAAAAACTTTTGATATATTTGTATTTTGCATTATAAGCAGTCAACCGATTGACAAACTAGAATTATTTGAATTCCGTGTGGAAAGAGCTCGGGTTAATTTCGAGTGTTATCTGCAATCTAGATGTTTATAAATCATTTCAGTCGTTGATATAATAATTAAGAGTCGACTGAACATTAATTATATTATACAATTTAAAGCGCATTTCTGTTTATGCACGTGAACCCGTCTAACGTTATTGTTATTTCGAAGTTATATAAAGTAGCAAATTATCGTTCCTGAATAGGTGGCGCCGTGGTAGCCGATCCTGTTCCTCAACTTCCGGTTTCTGCACTGTGCAACTATTTCAGTTACATTTTGAATTAACGATGCCAAGTACTTGTTGTTGTGTATCTGGATGTCATTTAAGAGAAGGACATGCATTTCCAAATGACTTAAAAAGAAGGAAAAGTTGGATCAACGCCATGGCCCAAACGCAGATTGGACGAGAACACGATTTCATCGTGGAGTCCATCTCAATCAGCTGTTGTTTGCAAGGCACATTTTACTGAAAAAGACTACGTGCAGGAAACTATTCATGGTAAAACTCTATTTTCTTTTTGAAATATATAGTTATATATGTAATCGCCATGCGAATAAACCAAAGCCTGTTTACAACCGCAATTATCGTTTTAGAATAAAAGGGGGTGGTTAATTCAAGACGTCATAATTTTTTGGATTACGATTCAATGTGATCTGTTTGAGATTTTTTGGTGATTGCTACAGTTATAATGATTTCTTACAAGAGGTATATCATACTGAGAATTATTTTAGCACTAATTATGCTAATGTAGTAATGACAGGAATGCATAAGCTATGCCTCATAGACTTTCTTGAAAAATATCAATGACAATGTTAACAGGAACAAAACAATGACATGCTCTCATCAATATTATA